TGTGTGTGTGTGTGTGAGAGAGAGAGAGAGAGAGAGAGAGAGAGAGAGAGAGAGAGAGAGAGAGAGAGAAAGAACAGGTGCCAGAGAGCATCAAATAAGTTGGAATTAACAGGTTGTTGTAAGCTACTGTGTAGGTGCTAGGAACCAAACTCGGGTCTTTTAGAATAAAAGCAAGTTTATTTAACCACTGAGCCATCTCCCCAGTCCTTTATTTTTTGTTTATTGTTTATGTGTATGGCTATTTTGCCTATGTCTCTATAACACATATGTGCCTAGTACCTTTGGAGGCCAGAAGAGGGTGTTGGAAACACCTCCTGGAACTAGAGTTACAGATGGCTCTGAATCGCTGTGTAGGTGCTGGGAATCAAATCCAGGTCCTCTCCAGAGCAACAAGTGCTCTTAACTGCTAAGACAGAGTGTCACTGTTGTTTTTGCTGGCCTGGAACTCATAGAGATCTGCTTGTCTCTGCCTCCAGAGTTGTGAGATTAAAGGCGTGTGGTGCCATGCCCAGCTGGAGGTACAGACTCATTGTGAGCCACCATGTGGGTGCTGGGACTTAAACCTGAGTCTTTGTAAGAACAACCAGTGCTCTTAACCTGCTGAAACTTCTCTAGCCCTAGAACCTGGACTTAATCCATAGATACAAGTGAGTCTTGCTAACAGTGTTTTGCATCTGCTGCAGGCTGGCTGCTGGCTCCACAAGGTTCTGTGCTGGCATCCTAAGCACTGCTAGACATTCTAGCATTGAACAGAAGATGGCAGACTATTCAAACAAACTCTACCATCAGTTAGAGCAAGAAACAGGGATCCAAACAGGTAAACAGATAATCTGCTGTTTATTGGTCTTCTTGTCTCCAAACCCTTACTCAGTAGTTGCTGTTTGGTACTATGCTCTGTCTAATCTGGTGATTAAGACTTGTGTTTGAGAATTTACCTTAAGCCAGGGTGTTCCTTTGGGCAGGTCATGTATCTTGCCTTCTTTACCTATAGAGGAAGAAATTACAATCAGTATCCCAGGTCATTTTCAGAATCTATAACTTTTTTATTTTACTTTTTTTGGTGAGAGTGCTTGGGATTGAACCCAGATCCTGAAGAACCTATCATTATTGTCATGATAAGAAAGTTTTCCTAGGCCGTTTTAAAAATATATTTCACTCATTTAAGTATAGTAAGTGGCAGCACTTAGCTCCTAAGCAAGAGAAAGAGAAAGAGCAAATGTTCAGGTCTTAGCAGATTAAATCAACTCAAAAAACTTAACCATTAAAATATAGAAATAACATTATATGTATAGTTAGGGGAAAATAGCACTATATACATACATATATATTAGCATTAGTGTTAGTATTATATTATTAGTGTTAGTAATAGTATTAGTATAGTACTAAGATAAATAGTACTCTCCTAATACTGGGGACTGGCGTGGAGGCCAGCGAGGGGGATGTAAAGAGAATGAACTGTTTTAAGGACAGGAATGCTAATAAACAATATGATCCCATTTGATGATGCAATGGGAGAAGGGACTATTAGTTGGTACAGAATTGATGGATTATCCAGAAACTGAGTATAGTTCAGTTTTCTGGATAATGAAATGAAATGCTGTTGTTTTGTTTGCTTCTAGTCCTCCCCTGGGGGAGCATCACCAGACTCCCTGTCCCCAGGGTAACTCAACACGGCCACCAAGGACTTTGAAACGAACTCAGTAAAAGTAGTTCTGCCATGTTGTTTGAATTGAATTTTTCTTTCTTAATTTTTCTTTATTCTTGGCTTTTTAAGACGGGGTTTCTCTGTGTAGCCTGGGACTTGCTCTGTATACCAGGCTGTCCTCAAACTCAGAGATCCACCTGCCTCTGCCTCACAAGTGCTGGGATTAAAGGTGTGCACCACCCCTACTCGGCTAAATATTTTTTTTTTAAGATTTATTTTATTTATGTATATGTGCATGTCTGTGTCTCTATGTGTGTCTGTACACATGTCTATGTACCCTCAGAGGCCAGAGAAGAGTGTCAGGACAATCCATTTTGGTTGGATTGAATCTGATGGCAACTGTGGTACTTGAGTCAAATATTAACTAGAGTTTGAGTCAGATGTGGGTCTAGAGGGTGGGCCAAGGGTGGAGCACTGACTCCCAGTCCACCGATTGAGTTTCTGTTGATGAGTTTTGTATTATTCAGCTGGATAGATTTGAGGAGAGTTAGGATCACAGACTTCATTTTTTATGTTAAGCTAGCCTAGGATGAGTTCTGGGTCACAGTGTAGAAGCCCTTATCGACTTGTCTTTTATGCCCGTGAGGCAGCAGAGAGATGGGGAATAGTGACGAGTGAGGCCTTTCACCTGCTCCCTTCCTTGTGGTGTGCCAGTGATGCAGTGGAAGGGAGCTTGGGGCTTCAGTGGTGGGGACCCTGTTAAAGAGTGCACGTGGGCTGGCGAGGCGGCTCAGCGGGTAACACGGCCTGAGTTCAGTACCTGGGACCCACGTGGTGGAAAGAGGATTGACTCCCACAAGTTGTCTTCTGACTTCCACACAAGTGCCATGGCACACATAAGCTCCCTCTGCCAGAAAAATAAATAAAAATGTAGTAATCCTTAAAAAGGCAGAGAGCAGTGTACATGTGTAAACTACCATGATACTTGTTTTTTGTTTTTTCCCTATTATTTGTGTTTGTGATGTGCATGTTATGTATGCAGTGGTCAGAGGAAACTTCCACTTCACTGAGACAGGGTCTTTTGGTTTTTCGAGACAGGGTTTCTCTTTGCGCCTTTCCTGGATCTCACTCTGTAGCCCAGGCTGGCCTCAAACTCACAGAGATCCGCCTGGCTCTGCCTCCTGAGTGCTGGGATTAAAGGCGTGCGCCACCACTGCCCGTCAAGGCAGGGTCTTGTTTGTGTCATTCTGTATACTCCAGGTTAGCTAGCTCACCAGCTCTGGGCAGTTCTGTCTTCACCTCCCATTTTGTCCTAGGACTTGCCGATGACAGCCACTGAATCCAACTTTTTGTGGGTTCCAGGAATTTAACTCAGGTTACCAGGCCTGCATGGCAGGCACTTTTACAACCACCGAAGGATCTTGCCAGCCCTTGCTCTGTTTTTGTTATTAAGGCTGAAGGCACGTGTATAATCTAAATTTAGCGTGAAGAATAGGATCTTGAAGAGGATCCTCTTGCCGCCTCCTTCCAAGTACTGTGATTAGAGATATGTGCCACTCATAACCACAGTCTTTTCATTGGCACGTGACAGAGTCAATATGACTAAAGGCTAATAGTTTTTGGACTGGGGTCGTAGATCAGTGGTAGAGTCTTTGCTTGGCATATGGGAAGCCTTGTGTTTGGTTCCTAGCAATGAAGAAGATAAGAATTAAAACTGTCGGTTTTTACTGAGTGATGTAAGATGGCTGAGTAAGGTGCTTGCTGCCAAGTCTGATAACCTGAGTCCAGTTCCTGGGTCTTATGTGGTAGGAGAGAATCAACTCTTGCAAGTTGTCCTCAGAGCTCCTTGTGTAGTCTGTGGCATGTGTGCATCTACATTAAATAGATAAATATATTTAAAGATTTATTTACTTATTTATTTTTGGATTTTTTTTTCCCCGAGACAGGGTTTCCCTGTGTAGTTTTGCACCTTTTTCCTGGAACTCACTTGGTAGCCCAGGCTGGCCTCGAACTTCACAGAGATCCGCCTGCCTATGCCTCCCAAGTGCTGGGATTAAAGGCATGTGCCACCACCGCCTGGCTATTTTTGGATTTTTTTGTTTTTTTGTTCTTTTGTTTTTGTTTTTCGAGACAGGGTTTCTCTGTGTAGCTTTGCGCCTTTCCTGGAACTCACTTGGTAGCCCAGACTGGCCTCGAACTCACAGAGATCTACTTGCCTCTATCTCCTGGAATTAAAGGTGTGTGCCACCACTGCCCGGATAAAGATTTATTTTCATTAAAAAAAAAAAAAAATTACGAGTATTTGGGCTAGAGAGATGGCTCAGAGGTTAAGAATACTGGCTGCTCTTCCAGAGGTCCTGAGTTCGATTCCCAGCAACATGGTGGCTCACAACCATCTGTAGTGAGATCTGATGCCCTTTTCTAGTGTACAGGCGTACATGTAGAGCACTTGTTTACACACAAAATAAATAAATAAATCTTTTAAAAATTGTGCATATTTATGTATCTCTGTGTAGGTATGTGTACATGAGTGCAGGTGCCTGCAGAGGCCAGAGAAGTTGGATCCCCCTGGAGCTGGAGTTACAGGAGGTTGTAAGCCCCCTGATGTGGGTGCTAGGAATTGAACTCAGATCCTTTGGAAGAAAAGTATGTGTGCTTAAGTGTAGTCATCTCTCCAGCCCTAAATAAATATATTTAAAGTCACTATCTGCTGATTTTTACAAAATAGAAATACAGAAAATAAAACTACTGAGATTGATAGGTATAAAACAGGATACAGCTGTCCCAGTCAGGAAGGGTAGTGACATGTTAAGTCTCAATTTGTATAATTTTGGCTTTAAAAATCATATGTAGCTGTGAGTAGTGGCACACACCTTTAATTCCAGCACTCAGGAGACAGAAGCAGGTAAATCTCTGTGAGTTCAAGGCCAGTCTGATGTACATAGTGAGTTCCAACATAATAAGACCCTGTCTTGAAAACAAATAAACAGACAAAATCATATATTTATTTCGAAGATTAATTTTTGTTTTATGTGTATGTCTTAGTCACTGTTCTGTTGCTGTGAGGAGACACCATGACCAAGGCAACTTATAAAATGAAGTGTTTAATTGGGGCCTTGCTTACAGTTGAAAGGGTTGGAGTCCATGACCATCATGGCAGGAAGCGTGGGGAAAGGCCAGCAGGCATGGTACTGGAGCAGTAGCTAAGAGCTTACATCTGATCTGCAAGATGGAGGCAGAGAGAGTGTGAGATTGAGCCTCAAAGTCCAACCCCAGTAATACACCTTCTGATCCTTCCTAAACAGCCCATCATCTGGGAACCAAACACTCATATATATGAGCCTGTGGGGACCATTCTCATTCAAACCACCACATTCTATGTGTATTTTGTTGGCTGCATGTGTGTGTATATATATGTACTGTGTATGTGCCTGGTTCCCGTGGAGGCCAGAAGAGGGTTTTAGCTCTTGGAACTGGAGTAAAGGTGGTTGTAAGGCAACATGTGGGTTCTTAGAACTGACCATGGGTCCTCTGCAAGAATATCAAGGGCTCTTAACTGCTGAGCCTTCTTCCCAGCCCCACTTTTGAATCATTTTAACATTTGTATACTCAGATACAAAAATCTTGAAGGATGGGAAGAGACGAACAGTATTTCAAGTGAGTAACTATCACACTAAAGTAAGGTAAAATAATTAGCCTAGGGAGCTTTTGACCATGAAATGTTTATTTCTGTGTTTTAAACCAGGGTCTTACTGTGCTGCTCTGGCTGTACTGGAACTTCTAGGCTCCAAGGACTCTCTTATTATACCAGCTTCTTGTGTATCTGAGATTATAGATGCATCACATTATGTCCATTTTCACCAGGATGTTTAAACTGTTTCCTCTTAGTCTAAAGACAGATAGATACATTTGATACAAATTGAGCCTTAACTAGAAAGTTTGTTTCCTGAAGAGATGTAGACAGTTCTGTTTTTTTTTTTTTCTATTTATCCTGGGATTCAGCAAATGAGTAATATATGACAGTAACTGGGGAATAAGTACAATAAGGATAAAGGATAAAGGCTTCTCAGTGTTGGAGGAGGGTGTATTACTTGTTGCTGGGAACAAAATGCCTGACAAAATCAACTTGAAGGGTTCATTTTAGCTTAAGGTTTGAGGGTACCGACCACCGTGGTGGAGAAGCCACGGTGAGAGGAACAGGAGGCTTGTGGTCACAGTCAGGTGACAGATGAGTGTCGTGTTGTGCTTGCCGCCTTCTCTTTATTCCATCTGGAGCCCCAGCCCATGGGATGGTGCTTCCACGTTCGGGGTAGGCCTTTGATTCTCAGGTAAACCTCCCTGGATATGCCCTCACAGTCGTGCCCAGATGGTTGTTTTCTAGGAGAACCTAAATCCTAAATCAGGTTGGCAGTCAAGAAGAACTACGAGGGTACAGTCTTGAAGGAAGCTGCAGCTCATGCTTGTAATCTCAGCATTTGGAGGTTATAGCAGGAATGAATAGTGCCATGACTTTCAGAACAGCCTGGGTTAAAAAATGAGACTCTGTCTTAAAAACAGAACACGGGGCTGGAGAGAGAGAGCTCAGTTGTTGAGAGCATGTACTGCTCTTCCAGAGGACTTGAGTTTAGTTCTCAGCACCCAAATCAGGAAGCTTATAATTGCCTGTAACTCCGGCTCCAGGGAATCCAACACCCACGTCTGGACTTTAGATGCACTGTGTTCACCTTCACAAACACAGACAGGTGGATCTCTGAGTTTGAGGCCAGCCTGGTCTACAGAGTACCAGGACAGCCAGGGCTACACAGAAAAACCCTGTTTCAAAAAACAAAACAAAAAAATAAGTGAATAAAATCTTTAAAAAGAAACAAACAGGACTAGGGACATAGCTCACATCATATGGAATGCTTGCCTCATTCATGAAGCCCTGGGTATGATCCTTAGCACTGTATAAACCAGGTATGCTGGTACATGCTTGTAAATTCAGCACTTAAGAGGTAGGTGTGGGAGGATCAGGAGTTCGGGGACAGCCTGGAATACTTGAAATCTTTCGAGAGAGAGAGAGAGAGAGAGAGAGAGAGAGAGAGAGAGAGAGAGAGAGAGAGCGCGCGCTAGGGAGCACTCACTGGTGAAATGGCTTAGTAGATAAAATTTCTTTCTATGCAAGACTGACAACCTGAGTTCAATCCCCTGAAGCTATACTGGAAGGAGAGAACAGACCCCTAAGAAGGTTGTCCTTTAACTTCCACACGTGTGCTATGGCACTTGTATATATCTACTCATATACATCAGGTTTACTCATTAATAGTAAATTTTTTGGTTTTAGTTTTTTGAGTCTGGGTCTCTTTATGTAGCTCTGCCTATCCTGGAACTTGCTCTGTAGACCAGGCTGACTTCAAACTCAGATCTATCTCTGCCTTCCAGGTGCTGGGATTAAAGGCATGCGCTATTAGGTTCAGCTATAAAATTTTTGTTTTTTGATACAGGGTTTGTCTGTGTAGCTTTGGAGCCTGTCCTGGAACTTGCTCTGTAGAGTAGGCTGGCCTCGAACTTAGAGATCCGCCTGCCTCTGCTTCCTGAGTTCTGGGATCAAAAGGTGTGTGCCACCACCACCCAGCAAAAAAATTTTTATTTTTGTTTTTGTTTTTCGAGACAGGGTTTCTCTGTAGCTTTGCGCCTTTCTGGAACTCGCTTTGTAGACCAGGCTGGCCTCGAACTCACAGAGATCCGCTTGCCTCTGCCTCCCAAGTGCTGGGATTAAAGGCGTGCGCCACCATCGCCCATCTCAAAAAATTTTTTAAGAGAGGAAGAAAAAAAATGAATGTGGAAGGAGGTGAACCAGAGGTGGCATTGGGTCTTGGTTTCAGAAGACCTTCCCACCCAAGAGGAATCAAAACTTATTAAATAGCTTAATTCCAGCAAACTTCCAGCTGTAGATAGCCTAGTGGCCAGGACATAGAGAAGAGGAATGAGTTATTTAGAACATTACTGCCTCTGCAGGATGTGAGAGTCATTCACCCATTTGCTCAAGACTGAATGTTCTAAGAAGGTCCACTTGGCTGTTTTTACGTTACAGCTTGTTATTTGGCTGTACTGGGGAAGGAGTGGGAATCTGGTGACCAGTGTCATGAATGGCTTTTACCAAAGAATGTACTCCCACCAAGACTAAAAAGGAAAGAGGTAAACCATCTAAAAGGGATAAACAGGGAGATGAGTTCTTGCCCTAATAAGACTTTTAGCCATGGTAGCTTTCATTATTATTATGAATGCTTTTTTTAATTATTTTTATTTTATGTTCATTGGTGCCCCACCTGCACATTTGTCTATGTAAGGGTGTCAGATCTTGGAGTCACAGATAGTTGTGAGCTGCCATGTGAGTTTGGGAATTGAACCTGGGTCGTGTAGAAGAGCAGTCAGTGCTCTCAACTGCTGAGCCATCTCTGCAGCCTATGAATGCTTTTATATATGTTAGAATTCTAGTTGACCCTCACAAAACTGTGAGCTGTCGTTATGTCTCTAGTATGTTTTAAATTTTGCTAGAAGCCCAAAGGGAGCAAATTCACTTATTCAAGGATAGTGAGTGGAAGCCCTAGGATTCATTATTGAACAAATCTTGATTGGTCTTATAATAAAAACCTGGAGCCAGATAGTGATGTAAATGCTGAAAGATCAGAGAGACAAAGGAACAAGCCACTAGAGATACTTGTCACCACTACCGAACCCTTAGGCCGAAAGGAAGGCGAGATCCTGTCTCCATGAATCCTCAGACTGAATACCTCTGAGCTCTCAGCCAAAGGGGCTCTGAACTAGTCTCCTCCTGCCTTATATTTCTTTCTCACCCAGCCATATCCTTCCTGTCTCAACCTTCCTGGTGCTGGCATTAAAGGCGTGTGACTCCAAAGTACTGGGATTAAAGGTGTGAGCCACCACTGCCTGGCCTCTGTGTTTAATCTAGTGGCTGGCTCTGTCCTCTGATCTTCAGGCAAATTTTATTGTTAGAGTACAAACAAAATATCACCATAATTCATAATAGGTTTAACCTATAAATCTAGTGGATTCCTCTGGACTACTCACTTTATTGACTTTTCTTACAGGGTACTTAAGGACAGGCTCAATCTGTCTGGCCCAAACTCAGGATCGGTTGATCTCTCTGAAGCGTATCAACTCAAGGCTGAAGTATGTAAGAGACTAGATACCCCTCCTGACTTTACTCATTACCTCTGCCAGAGAGCCCATGAATATTTTACCCCTTGTGTTCTGCGGCAGTATTGTAGGTATCCCTTCTGAGATCATCTCTCCGAAGAAAGTGGCTGAACTTCACCCTCTCCTCAATGTGCATGATCTGGTGGGGGCCATGCATGTTCCTGAGGATGCAGTTGTATCCTCTGCTGATGTGGCTCTTGCCCTGGCAAGTGCTGCCTCCCAGAATGGTGAGTGGGGCTTTGTGTTTTTATTTATTTATTTAGTTAGTTTGTTGTTGTCATTTTTTGCATGGGTTTGGGAAGAAGATGTTCTCTAAGAGTATATCATGATAGGTGACACTACCGACTTAGGAGTGGAGAAAGTATCTTCATTGGGATATTCAGTTTTCCAGTTTTGACCACTGCACTATATTTTTCAGTTGATCCATTGGGTATTTTCTTAAGTGTCAATTTTTTTCTTGTTCTAAGGAACTAATTGTGCTGATTAATACACATTAGACTTATGAGAGTCCCTGCCCCTGGATTTGAGAAGTGCCAAGGCTAGAGAAACATTGGAGAGTTTAACCTATAGCTTAAATATGCTGCAGTAAATCAGAGAGACTTATTAATGTCCAGAGTGTTACATACTTATGATTCGTCACAGTGCTAGGAATTGAACCCGGGGCTTTGGGCAGACCAGGCAGGTGTTCTACTAAGCTGTATTCCTTGCCTTTTTTTTTTTTTAAAGTAAGGTTTTACTATTAGCTCAGGCTGGCCTGGAACTTGCCATGTGACCAAATCTCAGACTCCTGAGTGCTAGAATTACAGGTGTATGTCACCATACTGTGCTAAGGTTTTGTTTTTTTAATTAAAGCACTGACCTAGTTTCTCCAGTCCCCTTTGGAGTGGAATCTGCTTCAGAGACCTTAATTCTGTAACAGATAATTTGCCTCCCCCCCCTCCCCCCAACAGAGTTTCTCTGTGTAGCCCTGGCTGTCTGGAACTCGCTCTGTAGAACAGGCTGGCCTTAAACTCAGAAATCTGCCTACTTCTGCCTCCATGTGCTGAGATTAAAGGTGTGTACCACCATTGTCCACTAATAACTTACCTTCTTTTTCTTTATTTTGGAGTAGGTGTTCAGATTTATGACCGGACGAGTGTTCTTCATGTATTGATCAAGAAAGGTCAAGTTACTGGTGTGGAGACAGATAAAGGACAGATTGAATGCCAGTATTTTGTCAACTGTGCTGGTCAGGTAGGTTGGCCATAGTATTAGGTTTCTGACTTTATTTAACTTGGACTGTTTGGTACAGTGATACAAGATAATCATTTTATTGATTAAATAGACACCGGTACTACACTTCTTATTTGGACTGGATAATCCAGAATTGTATTCTAAACCAAAACCTATACTTAGTTCTCAGACACAGGCAACTTTCCACACTGGGTAAAGTAGTGCCGTCCTAGTCAGAAGACCACCAAATAGACCATGGTTTTAGAGCTAAATTTATATGATGTTACATTTCATTTCACAAACTCCAATATAACATCAGAACCATGGGTCCAATTTCTAGAATGCAAGCTGCCTCTACTTCTGAGGTGGATTGGTCACCTGCTTTCTACTCGACAGTCTTAGGAGATGTAGGAAATACTTTCTGCTCTATAAAGTTTATTTAATAATTGGCATTTGGGGTTTCTAGCTGATAACAGGCATTTTACTTATAGGGCTTCTTTTGACTGGGAAATCTATCTTCTTATTATTGAAAAAATAACTTTATGCTTTAAAAAGTGTTGTGTTGCTCACTGTTCAAATACTTGAACTAGATAAAGAGGCTGAACTTGACTTCCCGTACATGACACTGTAACAAGAGCACTCAAGCCCCTTGAAGTTAGTTCAAGAGGTTGAACTTGCTCACTTGTGTTTCTGTTCCTCTTCCCACCCACAAACTGTTCATTGTAGTGGGCATACGAGCTGGGTCTGTCCACCGAGGAGCCGGTTAGTATCCCGCTACATGCCTGTGAACACTTCTACCTTCTGACTCGTCCCTGGGACACCCCTCTGCAGAGCAACACACCAAGTGAGGACTTGTTTTTTTTTTTTTTTTTTTTTTTTTTTTTTTTAAATAATTTTATCTCTTTGCTGGTATCCTGTCCTTTGAAAGGAAGACTTTTCACTAAGGACACATTATGCCTAGAGGAATTTTTTTCTTTTCTGGAGCATGTTACAGGGAGGTGGATCCAATTTTAACTTTTCTTTGATTATTTCTTAGGAAAAGATGGCCAAAATGAACATGCCATTAAAGACTTTTTTGTTGCTTGTTTTTGTTGTTGTTTTATAAGCTAATTTTAAGCCCTAATAGGGGTCATGGAGAATTAGGAATATAACTTGCGTTTTTAACTTGAACGGTATCAGTTGTAGAAGTGCATAGGTAGGCCATATACTTAGTTTAATGGTTACAAACTTCTGAAGGGAGAAAAGGTGGGTTTTATTTATTTTTATTCATTCATTTATTTATTTATTTATTTATTTATTTATTTATTTATTTATTTATTCATTTATTCATTTTTTGAGGCAGGGTTTCTCTGTATAGCTCAGCTGTCATGGAACTTACTCTGTTGACTGGGCTGGCCTCAAACTCAGAGATTCCCCTGCCTCCTGAGTGCTGGGATTAAAGGTGTTTGCCACCACCTCCTCTACTGCTGCTGCCTCCACTGCTGCCACCGGCTTTCTTTTTTGAGATGAGGGTCTCATTGTATGGTCTTGGCTGGCCTGGCACTCTCTTTTGTGGGCATGGAGGCAGAGGCAGGCATGCCTAGCTTAGAAGGCTTTTGATACCATTGCAGATAATGAATTCTGCACCTCCCTTTCCTGTTAGACTTTGGCTAGGCACAGTGATGGTAAGTTTGGTTGTGAGGTGTTGGCAAAAAACTTTTAGGTGCCCAGTAGTAATGTTTGGGATAATCAGAGAAACCATGTTCTCTGTAACCCTGAGTGGGACGATCCTCCCAAAAGCTAATGGATGACTGTATTTGTTGGATGCTGTGCTGCTGGTAAAGTCACTCATGAGTGTTTTCTGTTTCTCTCCATCTAGGAATCTGGCTGGTCTCTAACCCCTTGTTTTTCTCTTCACCCTCCTTCCTTGTTGTTTCTCTCTTCAGCTATTGTGGATGCTGATGGAAGAATTTACATCAGGAACTGGCAAGGTGGCATCTTGTCTGGAGGCTTTGAGAAAAACCCAAAACCTATTTTCACCGAGGGCAAGAACCAGTTGGAAATTCAGAACCTGAGGGAAGATTGGGATCACTTTGGTATGTGAAGTAAATTATAACAACAATGCCTTCTACTTTCCTAAGATGTTGCATTTTTCAAGGTGTTTTTGTGAATAGTTCTTTATCTTTAAGACAACTCCAGGAAGCACAATAGTAATCATGAAGAATAGTCTAGTTTGCCTGGTCTAAGGATATAGTTACTGGTTAGATTCAGGGGTCTACGGTCTATGTTTAATGAACTTGACTCATCATTTATTTACTTAAATCACTGCTGATATATTAGACTAGAAGGGGGACCTTCCTTTGGTAAGACTTACATGAAATTGAAGAGGTTTCTACCAAGCTGAACTATCAGCCAGGCATGGTGATGTATGCCTTTATGTAATCCCATCATGTGGAAACTGAGGCAGGAGGATTGTGAAAGTAGATTTTTTGCTAATGTGGTCTTTATGAAGTCTTTAAATAACTTTAATTGTCTTTATTGAATAATTATTGTAGTTACATGGTCATAAATGGAAAGGGTATGAAAAGATACCCACCCTGCCTCGAAAAACCAAAAAAAAAAAAGAAAAAAAAAAGATACCCATCTCCCACCTGTGATGGACTTTTAAAAAAATAAGCGGCTGCTTATGGGAAACTTTAAACCCTTGTGCCCATCAACCAGTTACTCCTGTTTCCATCCATTACTGCTGTTTTATGGGACAGTGGCCAGAGATAGCATAGAACAAGGTGCAGGGGACCTAGGGAAACACTGTCTTTCATGGAAACATTAGGTGGTCTGCAAGACCTTTCTCACACACCCTGACTCCTTCGAGTTTACTGCCCATAGCCTCATGTATTACTTTGTTCTGAGGCTCCTTGCCTTTGAAGAGTATGGTTTTTCTTACTCTGAATGCCAGGCATTTTGTAGGTGTGTTCTGTAATTCCGACAAGCGTTATTTTTTTCTGATAACTGACCAAATGACTCTTAGAAAAATCTTCCCTAAAGGATTTTTTGGAAGGAGGAGTAAAAGGTATAAGAACTTGAAAACATTTACTTCCCTAAAGGTGAGGACTCTGTTTGGGTTTGTTTTGATTGCTCAGAGCCCCTGTTGAGTTCCCTCCTGCGTAGGATGCCAGTATTGGAGACTCTGGAGATTTTGAAGTTGGTGAATTGCCCTGAGACCTTCACACCAGACATGAAGTGCATCATGGGCGAGTCTCCTGTAGTACAGGGCTACTTTGTCCTGGCAGGGATGAACTCTGCTGGCCTGTCGTTGGGTGGAGGAGCTGGAAAGTAAGTCTTTTTTCCATAGAGTCACCTGTGGACGCCTCAGCTTGCCAGGTTTTTCCCTTTCAGATTACTCATTGTTAACATGTTCCGTAATCAGATAGTAATGTTGATAATAATTACTTTGGGAAGCTTTCCTCATATTCCATAAATGTTAGTATATAAAATATTTCGGGAGCTCAGTCATTTAGTTAGTCACAGACCCTGTGGAAATTTTTTTTTTTAACTTTTCAGTTGTAACAAATGTTATTGTTTTGACTGTGTAAGGTTAGAAGTAGCCGGGTATGGTAAGTGAAATGGGCAATCAAGCTAGGCAACTAAAATTTTAGTTTAAAAATAGGTACTTATCAGCTAGGGATAGTGCCACATGCCTTTAATCCAAGCAGGGGAGGCAAAGGCAGGTAGATCTCTGTGAATTTGAGGTCAGCCTGGTCCATGATGAGAGTTCCAGGCCAGCCAGGGCTACATGGTGAGACCCTGTTTCAAAAATAAATAAGCCAGTCACAGAAGGATACAAATACTGTACAATTTCATTTATGTAAGGTACTTAGAGTAGACTTAAGAACAGAAAGAAAAATAATGTTTGCTAGGGAAAGAGAAGGTGGGGAGTTACTGTTAAATAGGTCTGGTGTTTTAATTTTGCAAGATGAAATGTGTTCTAGAAATGGATTGTGGTAGTGATTACACAGTAGTGTAATGGACTTAATTTCAATGAATCCCACACTTAAAAATAGTTAATCAGTTGTTTTTACTCTATCCTATAATCCCAGCCCTTGGAAAGTAAAGGCAGGAGGATCAGGAGTTCAAGGTCATTTTCAGCAGCATAGGAGACCTTATTCTCAGGTTTTTTTTTTTTTTTTTTAAAGTTGATCATCTGGCTATGGTGACACATGCTTGTAATCTTAGCTCTTAGGAGACTGAGCGGGGAGGATTGCAGTGAGTTTGAGGCCAGCCTGGACTACACAGTGATTTCCATTCGGCCTGGGTTAAGAGAGTGAGAAACTGGGGCCAGGCATGGTAGTGCACACCTTTAAATCCCAGCACTTGGGAGGCAGAGGATCTGGAGGATCTCTGTGAGTTCTAGGCTAGCCTGGTCTATAGATTGAGTTCCAGGACAGCCAGGGCTGTTATACAGAGAAACCCTGTCTCAGGGGGGAAAAAAAAGAGTAAGAAACTGTTTTTAAAAAGCCCAAGAACTGCCTCCAAAAAACTAATTTGAATTTGTTATATATTAAAATATATTGTATATGTTTTGTGCTAGTAACTAATACAATAGATTTATCTCTATGTGTTTGATACATTCCGGCATACCTTGCTGGGGCCAAAGTATGCACTCTTAATTTGCTGAGCCATCTCTCCAGCCTTCTAACTCTCAGTGGTTTTGTTATTTGTAAGCTAAATGAAAATTTTCCCCCAATTTTCATAAAACAACAATTACAAAAAGTCCAGATATAAATATATCTGCTCTGTCCAAAACTGTGCTTGTTAAGGATCAACTGTATTTCATCATAATTAAAGTATTTTTCCGGGGACCATGGGGAGCTGGTGAGATGACTGAGTGGGTAGAGGAGCTTTTTGCACAAGCCTGGCAACCTAAGTTCAATTTAGGAATCTCTGGAGAGGGAGAGGGAGAGAGCTGTTATCCTCTGACCTTCACAAGAGCCAGCTCCAATCATGAACACACACAGTAAAAATAAAGGAACAAAGCCGGGCGTGGTGGCGCACGCCTTTAATCCCAGCACTCGGGAGGCAGAGCCAGGCGGATCTTTGTGAGTTCGAGGCCAGCCTGGGCTACCAAGTGAGCTCCAGGAAAGGCGCAAAGCTACACAGAGAAACCCTGT